GGTTCATGTACTTGGAATTATTAGAAATAAAAAGAGGTTCATTTGGTATGACTTTTGATTTTATGTTTGCTCCTATAGAAGAGCTCTTGAAGAAAGTGACCTTAATATTTTTTTGAAACAAACTTTTAAAAGAACTTCATATTCTAGAAGTGTTTTTAGAAGAAATCACATTGAATCAGCTTCCTCTAAAAAAATTTCTAAGTAGGAGAACTTTCATAAAATTAGTCAAATATATCCAAAAGTTACTTTTGGATCTCAAAAACTCATTTTAACTTTTTAAAAGTTATGTCAAACGAGTCCTTAATAAAGTTGTCCCTCATAGAAATAGAAGAAATTGAAAAATGAAAATCGTTGACAATGTGACTCAGAGACCTATATTAACAATTGAGCGACTAAGACAACGTTAATTAAACTAGATATTTTAGCTATTGTGATATTTGAATTCAAAAACTCAATGCCTTAAAAGTTGAATTTTAATTCATTTTTTACTTAATTATAAAGTTAGTGATTCCAAAGGTCAATTAGAACTTAATAGTAGCCATGAAGCAACATCTTAAGAAAGTGAAATTAAGAAAATCCTTTTTGTTTTTTCCGAAGAAGTTACCCCCAATTGTTTGAAGAAAAGAGATCAAAAGTCTCATTAGAATGACATAAATTGTTCACCATAGATGTAAGTTCTCCCTTGACATTTCAATTGAGTATTGGAGTTCCAAATAAAAATGTCATCATTATTAAAAGGAGTAACATAAATTCTAATATTTTGATTATTGTTTTCAAGTTTATGAAATGTTGATTTTATCTTTAAAAAGAGGTTAGGGCATCAAACAGGGTACAATTTATACTTCAATTCAATGAAAAACACATATATGGTAGATTTTGAACAAATAGTCTATGTGTACAGAAAAAGAAAACACAAAAAAAGCATACAAAATACACACAAATAGGTGGGCTCCCTTTTTTGGCAATATTTAATGGGAAAAATTCACTTTCCCTACTTTATCTTTACCCTATTTCAAAAATAACAAAACAACTTTTACATTTCAAAAATCAGAAATTTTGACTTACACATACACATTTATATAAATATTTATTTATACATATAAATATATAAAAAAATGTATAAAATATAT